ATGCATATAAAATCAAAGGGGTAGCGAAGCGCACCGAGTTCAGCTACTTGCTTATATAATTTAAGAACCAGAATCGCAAAATTTTGACAATTTTTAGGTTGTTGCATAGGCCCTACAGTTCTTAACTAAGGACCAATATACATGACATTTTTTGTGAGTTGAGCATTTTGGATCGTTATCGGATAATATTTAGCTGGTGCAATGGACCAAAAAGTAGGATAAAATTTGGCATATAAAATTTCCAATATGTAAAATGTCCTTCTGTAAAAAAATTCAATATTGATACACAATTTTGCAGTGGCCCTGTGGCATTATACACTTTTGGTCGAATTTTCCAAGGAAATACAATGTATTTTTGCGATACATGTTCTTAAATTATATAAGCAATTCCAGAAAAAATGTTTAGTTTAAATTAAATATTTGATCTATAAAGCCGTGTCTATTGATAGACAATTTAGGTTGGATCTTCTATTATCTATTTTTGGTCCACTTCAACCCCTAAATATTTTGCGATCATCTCCCCTAACAATAGGCTTCTATTCCGATCTTAACCCCACCTCCAGGCAAAATTTCGTGAAATTCGGGTAAAAATTTCGATCGATTGTGTCAATACAATTTAACATAGACAGAGATACGGACGTACATAAATAGCTAGATCGACTCAGCTTGGCGAGATATGAAGATCCATATATAGTTTCTTATGCCTTGGTCCAATAATTCAGCCATATGGCTACAGAGGGTATATATCATTTGATACGGTCAAAATGTGCCTAGTCGAAATAACGGTTTTAGACCCTTGGTCTCTTTGGACCAAATCCGTTTCAGAACATTTGGAGTTGATCTAGCGCTGTCCGTCCGTCCGTCTGTCTGGCTGGTGCGCACCATAACTCTCCAAGGGAGTATCCGATTCGGTCCAAACTTGGTACATCGTAATATTTTTGTCAAACTTAGATCGAGTTCGGAGATGGGCAATATCGGTCCACTCCTTCTGGTACCTCGCAACTACCATAAGTCGTATATAAATATTCTATAGGGAATGGAGCGAAATGTACCATATATGTTTTTTCGATATGTGTGAGGGAGTAAAATACATACAACTATATCTTAACCGATTTTTATCAAAAGATTGATACAGTTTCTTGCTGGCTAAAATCGTTTGTTTGTACCACAATCCATTAAATCCGGGGTGATATTAGCCAAATGGCGCACAATAAGCTTGAAATCGGACAGACGTATATTTGGGAACTATATTCAAATCTAAACCGATCTTAGTAGAGGCATTTCTAGGATGTATCTGATATCTGGTACCAAATAGCATTCTTGTGGAGAACATATTACGAATTTCACCAAATTTGATGTACTTGCTTCTATACTGAGTTCGGTCGGATGTTCCAAAGTTCAGGGCATTTGGTGCACAATAAACCCTAAATCGGTTGATGATATATGTGGGAGCTATATCTATATTCAATAGGGTTCGTCCTTGGGCGAAAAAAATCTTGTTTGGAAAATTTCAGCTCAATCATATAATAAATGCGATCTGCATTTTGTTCACAAAAACACATGGACAGATGGACGGACGGACTGACATGCATAAATCGGCTCAGAAAGTGATTCTATGAAGATCCGCATGAGTAACTATGGGTCCATCTCGATTCCTTTTCCATGTTACAAAAAAAGCACAAAGACATTACCACTACACAACTATGAAGTGTAGTGTATAAAAAATAGTTTTTATATCCTCCACCTTGAAAAGGAGGGTATATTAACTTTGTCAATCCGTTTGTAACATCCATAAATATTCCTCATAGACCGGCCTTTTTAGAAAAAAACTATCTGGATTTAATAATCTAACGGAGCTAGAATCTATTACGACCTATAAATACCGAATTAAAATCGAAAAAATACCGAATATCCAGTGGTTCCTCCAGTTGAATCCATTACAATAAAAATTGCCTGCACTTACTTTGACTCTCATGCCGTCCTCTTTCCTGTTTTTTAACCCTTTTCTTAAAAAGTCGATTTAGCGATGTCCGTCTGTCTGTTGTAATCACGCTAATTTTCGAACCGAAAAATCTTGCACACATGTTTATTTTTCCAGTAGGCAGGTTAAGTTGGTAAAAGGGCCATGTAGGTCCACGTTTTCATATAGCCCCATATAACGGTACCTCCCTATATTCGGTATTTTGATGATTTTAGCGACATTATTCACCGGAATTGTTCCAAATTCGATGAAGTTCGAAATTGATACTACAACCTATGACAGAAAATTATCTCGAAGGTCCACGTCTTCGTGTAGCCCCCATATAACGGTACCCCTCCGATATTCGGTACTTTGATGATTTTAGCGACATTGTTTACCGGAATCGTTTCAAATTTGGTATTTGAAGTTTGTAATGTCTGTGACAAAAAATTGTCTATGCAGGTCCAGGTCTTCGTATAGGCCCCATATATCAGTACCTCCCTATATTCGGTATTTTGACGAGTTTATGTACAAAACCCACCGAAATTGTTTGAGATGTCGTATTTGAAGTTAGTTATGGATGCCACAGCCTGTAACAGAAAATTGTCTATGCTGGTCCCAGTGTTCGTACAGCTCCGATATAACGGGACCTTCCTGTGTACGATATTTTGATGATTTTAGCTACATTATTCACCGTTTATTTCAAGTTTCGAATTTGAATATGCTAATGGCTTATGACAAACAATGCCTATGTAGGTCTACGTCGTATAGACCCCAATATAACGGCTATATTCGATATTGAACAGAGTTTGGCTTGCTTGTTTGGGATACCATAGTATTTTGTTGTTGCAAAATCGTCAGGCGAAATCCCATTATTGTTGTTTTTATAAAAACAACGTTTGTTTATGAGTGGAGAACGATGGTAATGTTTACCAGGGGGTAAGGCAGGGAATACCTAGGTTTCGGAAAGAGCCACCAATCCTCATCAGTTCCCTTGTTTCTTGTCTGGGATATTCTCCCCAGAAGTTATTTAAAAAAATAACTTCTATGGCAAAAAACATTTTTTACCCAAGTGACGAGATCGTAAGCTCAATAGAAGAGGAACAAAAGAATTACATAAAACTAAAATTCTTTTGGAAAATCTTCTAAATCTTACAACCGCACTTATAAACATTTACATCTTTCTCCACTTTGTTATGCTTTCGTTCAACCTGAACGAAGTAACATAACCATGTAAGTTTGTTTTGTCTGTTACAACAAAAACCCCTTCGTCGACCGTGCCTGTGTCTATTAATAGAACAGAGTTTGGCTTGCTTGTTTGGGATACCATAGTATTTTGTTGTTGCAAAATCGTCAGGCGAAATCCCATTATTGTTGTTTTTATAAAAACAACGTTTGTTTATGAGTGGAGAACGATGGTAATGTTTACCAGGGGGTAAGGCAGGGAATACCTAGGTTTCGGAAAGAGCCACCAATCCTCATCAGTTCCCTTGTTTCTTGTCTGGGATATTCTCCCCAGAAGTTATTTAAAAAAAATAACTTCTATGGCAAAAAACATTTTTTACCCAAGTGACGAGATCGTAAGCTCAATAGAAGAGGAACAAAAGAATTACATAAAACTAAAATTCTTTTGGAAAATCTTCTAAATCTTACAACCGCACTTATAAACATTTACATCTTTCTCCACTTTGTTATGCTTTCGTTCAACCTGAACGAAGTAACATAACCATGTAAGTTTGTTTTGTCTGTTCGATATTTTTAAAATTTTAACAAAATTTTTTAAGGATTTTATTTTTTGAACATTTTCAAATTCATTCCAAGTGGTGGAGGGTATTCAAAGTTCGGTTCGGCCGAACTTACTGCTTTTTAACTTGTTTTTTTGGTCCCGATTATCAACAAATTCAACTGTAATTTGATGCTTGAGGTTTATAGTGGGCAGTTTAGTTCCTCGCAAAAAGTATTCAAACTAGGTCGAATTTTTGGTATAACACAATATAGCGGTACCTCCTGATATTTGGATTTTTTATACGATTCCGTAATGTCCTTACAAAAACTATTCAATGTTTGAAGTTTCATATTATATACCATTAAATTTTCCAATCGGAGGAATGATCAATTTGACGATCATTCGTTTTGCTCAAAACAAATATTACTTCACACCTTCAGGACTTTGAAAATTGCTAAAATTTTCTATTACTTGAAAAATTAAAACCCACATATCTTTCCTACACATAGGCACAAAATACCCCTATCAAAAAATCCAAAAATTTGTAATTCATAAACATTAACCGGTTTTGTGAGCTCTTTGAAAACCTACTTTGCCAAATAGATCAAGCCATGTAATTGGCGGCGAAAACACAATTACAAAGTAATTACAAAATATAAAAATAGGCCAATATCAGGCATCGAATCAAAACAAAATCGAAAAGAAAACAAAAAGAAAATGCAAAGCTAACCAATGGCCACTTGTTTCGCCAGTGGTCAGTCGGCAAAGAAATTGAAGGTCTAGTGTGGATAAAAAAAGCATTTTCTTGTTTTCTTCGTTTTTGGCCATTGTGGCTGTGAAAAGTGTTTGTGTTGGAGGTTTTCTCTATTTATTTACTTTTATTTTCTAATAAAAAACACAACAAAATATGCCGCACAATTTGAAAGCATAGACAATTTTTTAAGCTTCGCCAAAGACAAGCTTTAACAATGACGTCACAGAATGTAAGGCTTGAAGCTTCAACTAAGCCACATACACACAAGATCAGGTAGCAAAATCACTTTCAATATTAAGCGGCAGCAAACAAAAACAAAACAAAGTAGACACACACGCATACAGGTGCAAAGTCAATATTAAAGCCAGGTTTAGACCGCTTAGCCATTCAGGCAGTCGGATAGTCAGTCAGCCAGCCATCCAGCCAGTGTTTGGTTTTGGAGTTTGTTGTGATTTTTTTTGTGAGGCTGCTTTTTTGCGCTTGTCGTTTGTTTTTGCTTTTGCGTTTCATTTCATTTTTTTGCTTTTGCCTTCGGTTTTCTTAAAGTCGAGAAGGCTTTGCATTTCAACTTAACAATCACAAAAGTTTTCTGCGCTCAAGAGAGCGGACGTGTAAACGCGGCTAAAAGCAATCCAACAAAAATATATCCATCTCCCCTTTTGAAGAAAAAATAACATCGTTTTCCCAACGTCTAATTCGCATTTTCCGATTCTAATGCAACCAACAGAAACAACAACTTAACACAATTTTTTTTCGAAATTTCCAAAGAAGAAAAAAACAACGTGCTGTAATCTTATAAAAAAATAAATAAAAAAGAAACAAAACAAAAATAATAAAAGTGCAAAAAAAAATTGAAAAAAAAAATCCCAACAAAAATAATAAAACGTGCAAAATTTTTTTTTTAAATTAAAACAAAGTGTTTAAATATTGTTTAATTTTTTTTAACTAAATCACAAAAATTGCTCCCAAATCTCTCGTCATGGTTGAAGAAAATAACAACAATAGAGCCTCAGAAAATGGCCATTTGGCCCATGGCGCCCAATCAGCCAATGCCGGCAAGGCTACTCCTTTGACTTTCTATGAAAATTTGAAAAGTTGGGTGGAAGCCATTGCCGATGTAATGATGTTCATCCTATGCTCCATTGGCTTTATATTAAAGGTGAGTAATGTCGGATTTTGAAATTATTTTGTTGTTTATATGGAATATGATTTATGTTTAATTATGAAATTATATGAGCCATAAAAAAAAAATGCCAAAACAATAGTGTTGAGCCATTTTGATGTTTAATATCCACCAGACCGCTCTGAACCAATTATGCTTGCATAAATCGCTATCACACATGAATTGTAATGTTAAAATTGTAAAACAACTATAACAATTTTGACCTTGACTTCTAAAGCTTGCAATAAAGTCGGCTAAATTGTGAAAAATATGACCTGAAATCGGACAGGCTTATGGAAGTTTCTACAGATTGAGAGTCGATTGTAAGAAAACTCAAGTTTGGCGTTAATGTTGTTTAAACCTCTATTTAATTATGCTTCCATACTGAAAATATTGAAATGCAGACAGAATCGTTTTTTTTTTTATAAATTTTTTAACATTTTAGACCTTAGAAGTTGTAGAATTTAAGGGTTTTCAATTTAATTTGTGATAAATTGGCTTCTTGGATAGAAAGTTCTGCTAAGGAAAAATTTATATACATTTTTTTAAAAAGTTAAAAAATCCAGACTTAGGATACATATTGTTTTTTTTTTTTTTTTTTTTTTTTTTGGGAAATTGTCTTTTAATATCACGAATCCGAGAAGTGATCTACCCACTGAGATGTTGGGCTAGAATTTATAAAAAATACATAAAATCGGCCGGCTTTGCAATTTTGTTTATTTGTTGAGAGAGAGAGAGATTTTTAAAACATATTTGGCTGAAAAATGTGACAAGAAAAAATAAAAAAATACTCGTACTGTTTCATTGGGTCAGAGGTCTTTTTCTGGTACCGCAGGTGGTTGGAACTCACAGGGAATCTCAACTCACTGCGTCACCATCATAGATCCTTCAGATCTTGTCGGGGGTAACTTCTAATCAAATCGGTTGCCGTTCGCCAGTGTCAAAGCGGAAGAGGTGAATAGGCCTTGCTCCTCGCAGTGAGAAAGCTACGTCCATGTAAATGTGGTAATTAGACTGCTCCATCAGTGTAGCACTTGTGTTGCATCGTGCCTTAAATTTTTCTCTCATTTTGGGTGACCAGTCCCGTGTTGTATGGAGCAAAACCTGGTAATAGTTTCGACTACGAAGTCTGACCGGAGACAATTCTGATGCCGCGGGTGTCAGGAGCCCCTAGATCTGTTGATCTAGCCTGACTATGGAGAGGCCCCTGTTTTGGGTGCAACGCGGTGGTTGTGGTTTATACCCAAATCGCGGGTAGAGCTTCGGCTCGATGTGGTGTTGCATTCTCAACCGGGTGCTGCGACCCATAGAGCAGCAGAGGTGTAAGATAGTTCTCAACTCCTTAAGGGAAGTGAAGCCCATATAGATCTAGAACCCTGTGGAGGGCTACCACTCTCTAAGAGAACTCTGGGTAATTCCAAAGGGGCGCTGGCCGACGTATCGTATCGCGACCCTGTGCAATGGTGCATCATGATTGAAGCCGTCAAGGCGATAATCATGTAAAACCCCTCGACTTCATGTTTCATAGGGTCAATAACAAAATATGAATCGATTTGGCGGGCGTTAGCCACTCCAGAGCTCCGATTTGCTTATTTTCAATCGGGAGCGAAACTTGCTCGCAACCAGGATTGCTCGAAGAGTGGGAGTTTTTTTACTGAGTCTACTCTTCACTCTCTTGTTTTGCGTGGGAAAACTCCCGTGTCACTCCTATTTGAAAAATTAGAGTGGGAGCAGAATTGCTCAAAATAGAGAGTTCGTTCTAAGAGTGAAAATGTGTGAAAAAAAAAATATTTCAATGTTGCTCTGTACTGAAGAAGAACGGAGGAAGATGGGGATGTGATCTTGTTGAATAAAAAAAAATCCAGTAAGGAAAGGTCAAAATTCGGGCGGGGCCCACTATATTATACCCTACACCACTATGTGTATTTAGTAGAGCTCATGTAAAAAAATATATATGTTGGAAATTTATGTGAAGTAGATCACACCAACTATGAACCATGATATGACATCGATAAGAAGATTATATTAGAAAATATTTATTGGAGCAATAGATATACCGGACCTAGTTTTACCAAATGGTAAAATTCGGATCAATATAGAAAAAGCTATTTAATTTGGACAGATATTACATATCTGGTTGGTAATATCCGTAAAATCAGATGAAGATTTATATCAGAGCTCTATCCAAATCTAAGCCGATCACGATAAATTTTAACAGACATATTTTGGAGTAGTATCTGATGCCCGGCATCAAATATCATTGTTGTGGAGTGCATATTATGCATGTAAGGGACTCAGAAGCCCAAATTGCATGAAACGTATATATGGGAGTCATACATATATCTGAACCGATTTTCACCAAATTTGAGATACGTGTTTTTATTTTAGGATGAATTCAGTTTGAATTGCCAAAATCCAGTTCATTTGGCCTGATATTAGCCATTTGGTGCACAATAAACCTGATATCGGATAAAGATTTGTATGGGAGCTATATCCTAATCTGATACGATCTTGATAAAATTTGGTAGAGGTATTTTCGAGCTCCATAAGTTATCTGATACCAAATATAATTCTTGTGGGCTGCATTTTACTTAAAACCAAACATCGGATGAAACAAATGTATGGGAGCTATAGCAGCAGGATGAGATAAAAAAAACTGCAACAAAGTCAAACGCCATAACTTTTACATTTTTTTTTTTAAATTTTTTTGAATGAAAGCAAAATATGTCGGAAATAGCATCACATTTTAGAATAAGAGTAGATTTGTTCGAATTGGTCACCTTTGGCACGAATTATGGCCCTCAATCGGCCAATGAAACCGTTATACGCTGCGCCAGGTATTTTAGCTCTGAGGTATTTTAGCGCATTCCCGGCGAAGCGCTTCCTTGAGGAGATCGACATTTTGGTATTTTTTAGTGCAAACCTTGCTTTCCGAAATACTGCAGACACAATAGTCCAACGGATTTGTATCCGGAGATTTTGGTGACCATTGTGCGCTGGAAATGAAGCGAGGACCTCATTTTGTAACCATTCTTGGGTGGTACGTGCTGAGTGCGATGGTGCTGAGTCCTGTTGGAATGTCCAAAGTCAGCGGCCAAAATGTTTGCGTGCCCAAGGCTCTAATACACCCTCCAGAATATTTTCGCGATAATATTCGGCATTTATTCTAATGCCAGGGTCGATTAATACGATCGAAGAGCGACATTCGGCTGTTATGGCAGTTCACACCATCACTTTGGCCGGTGCTTGCTGACCTCTTGGCAAGTAAACACGATAATTTTGTTTCTTTGCAAACTGCTCTACAACGAATGTTTTCTCATCGGAGAAAACCATATTCGGCAGTTCACCACTTTCGGCAAAGCAACTCTTTAGCTCTTTTGATTCTATTTTCTTTCTGTTGAGGTGTAAGTTCTTGCACTTTTTTTGAAATTTCAATGGCTTTACCCCGAGCTCATTTTTCAATATTTGCCGAATAAAATATTGCGATATGTTCAGCTCATGAGCCATTTTTCGGCCACTGCGACCCTGGTTTCGATCAAGTCGCTTCTATACTTTTCGAACCATTTCTGCTGATGTTGCTGTTTTCCACTTCCTTGACGTCGGGCTACGCTACCAGTATCACGGTAACGAGCGATGGTACGAGACACAGAAGATTTATTCACATTTAAATGCTGGAGTGCTCTAACGATAGCCACTTGTGGTTTTCCAGCCAAATATAAAGAAATCACACTATCACGTTTGAATTCCATCACGAATAACTTTTTTCCTAGAAAATTCTCACCAAAATGCTTTCGTACGCTTGTAAACAATATAATGAGCTGTCACTGAAATAATTTTAACAGCTGTCGGACGAATGGCTTATAAATGACTGCAGTCTGAAGTTGGTGGCAGTATTTTCATCTCACCCTGTATTCATATGGCTACAGAGGCATTAAATGCGGCCAAAACATTCCTCATCGAAATAATGGTTTTAGACGGAATGGGAATGGTTTTGTCTGTCATCAGGTGCTAAAATGGACCACATTAGCAATATTTGATTAAATAACTTAATTTTTCTGGCCTTTGGGAAAATCAAATTAATCGTTCTAACTTGACCCATATTTTTGAGGCTCTACCTGACAATTTTTTTTTGGTCACATTTTGGGGAACTAAAGAAACAATACAAAATGTTGACATTTGTGGTCCGTGCTTCCTGGGGAGTTAGGATGATACGCACAGGGACGAAAAGTCATAAAATCTCAAGACCTTTGAATCATTTATTTCTAATATAAACACACTTCATAGTATTTTGCTGTTTAAAGGAGATTCGATTATGCCTAAAAATGTCCTTAGAAAAAATACCTTAGCCATATTATGGCTCTTCCATGGAAAAACTGAAAAAATATCCTTAGAGAGTCTTTTTGAAGTCATTTTTAAATATTTTTTACAAAATCAATGGCTATGGTTTATCCTTTAAAAATATATTTTTTTATATGCACGATTATAACAAGTTCTTTATTTTTTTTTTTCAAAAATCCACGGTTATGACAAATTGTTTGAAAAAAATATTTTTTAAAAAATCAAGGATTGTGGGTGATTCTTTTCATATTTTAAAAGCTCTACAATTTTGACTTATCCTTATATATCCTATTATTAGTTTAATAAAAAATAATTTCAAAAAATTTACCCTTATTATAAAACGTGGAGAAAAAACTGTTTTTTTTTAAACCACGGTTATGACTTATCGTTTAAAAATATTTTTTTAAAAAAAAATCCTTGCTTATAATTAATGTGAGAAAATATAATTTTAAAAAAATCTACGACTTTTGTGAGTCATGTAGAATTATTTTTTAAACACTTTTGTAAAATCCCCAAACTTTGGTCTATCTGTTAAAAAAAAACTTTTTTTGTAAATACCGTGAATAAAATATTAAAAAAACACAAATTTTGGATAAATCTTGGAAAATTATTTTTTAAGAATTAATGCACGATTATAACAAGTTCTTTAAATTTTTTTT